AATCTCTTCATTATGACCCCTCCTCTATTTCTAATCTTATCTGCTTTTTCCAACTACTTCCCACAATGTACACACAAACTACTTTTTAGATTTATTGTTGGCTTGGTTCTTGGGGTATGACATACCCATTCCTGCTTCAGGCCCTTTGCACATGACATTTCTTTTATCTGGAAAGATCTTTTTGTTGATATTTGCATGACTGCCACCTTAAATTTCAGGACATACATTTCCCTCCCCATACCTGCAGCCCATTTTCCCTGTATCACACATATTTTTCTCCATGGGATTTACTCTCCAAAATAACATTAATGTGTATTTACCTGTCTAGTGTGTGTTTCTGCATTAAGGATGTAAGTTCTATGAGAACAGAGTCTTGATCTGTCTTGATTCACTCCCGTATCAATGAAAGTGTATTGAGTGAATGAGTCATAAACTTACCAGGCATGTCAGTATATGGAATTTCACACTTGCCCCCACTCACTCTTGCTCCTTTCTCCTTGGCCTGTTTTCTGATGATAGGAAATCAAGTCATTACGGCAACCACAAATAGAGGATATACTTGCCTGATTACCTGCTTGTGCTAACATCTTGCTATGCTGAAGGTGCTGCCGCCACTATCTTTCCAGATGTTGCACTGCTCTTCCCATATGTGAGGGGTAGATCAAAAAGAGCAGCAGCATTGCAGATCAGCATGACTTGGCAGTTGCCACCTCTTTGTACTTGGTGGCAGAGTGGACAGTCTAAAAAAGAGGAAAGTCTAAGGACTAGTGCATACATGTCTGTGAGATGGTGGTCTACTATGACAGTAGGGTGGATGGTGGGGGAGGACCCAAGCAGCTGCTCAAGAATCTCGAAGACTTTGTGAAAACTTGGACAGACCTGAGGCAGAAGACCAACATGGTAACAATGAACTAAAAACAAACCATGAAAGAGCAATTTTTAATTGTGCAGAGTGTAGACTGAATGCTTTACATCACTGGGGTTCTGTAGTAAGGATTTGAACAATGTTTAACTGACTTGAAGCTGATTGATTTTGTTAGGCAATGAGACACATGGGAATGAAGCTATTGTATTCAAAGTATCCACATTCCAAAGGAAATTCACACAAGATAGTGCCATGCTTATGAGCATAAACCGAGAGACTTGCATATTGCTAAATTATGATGAAATCATCGAGAATGTCATAGCAGGAATCCTAAGGAGAAGTATTAACAATTCTGAATTTCTGGTTCATATGGAAATGCTAATTCTACTTATGTAAGTAAAGTACAGGCATGGCGTTATTATGATTAAGACCTTACAACTGTAGAAATGCAGAGTGGTATATTAATAATATTATAGACATGTTTAGCATAAAATGCAACCAATGTAGCTAAATTAGTTGTACATTCCAGGCTGCATTTGGATTTCCTGTGAGCCTATTACTTTACAAAGCTAAAAAGAAGAATAAACCTTTCATGCCTCTTAGGGTACTCAGATGTTAGCTAGTTTTTGTTTTCCCTGCAGCTTTTGTCCCTGAAGAGTGCCAAAATCTTCCAAAGCCTTTTTCAGAAAAGCACTATGTTACTTTAAAGTAGTAGTTAAGATCATCTTCCTTGGGTGATGATGACTGTGTCACATGGCTAACAGCCATACTTGCCTCACAAATAACCTGGAAGAATGATCATTTTGCCAGCCCTTTTGGAAGAATATATATAGTAGTTTACAGAAAAATAGCTTGTATAAATTTCAGTAACTCAATTCTTTGTTTCCTACTCTACATTTTGTAGGAAAGCAAGCAGAGGAATTAATGTTGCAGTCGATTTGAGGGAGTGACTATTAAGATGAGATAAGTTACTCAATGGATGTTGACTGTTAGATTTATTGGAATGTATTAGATCTTAGTGAGAGATCACAGAGGAGAGAAAACCAGGAGTCTATAAGGGAATGAAAAGGGGAAGGACTCTGAGAGAACATAAAGTTGAAAAAGAAGTGTTAGTATACCCACAAATAGAGTCATTATCGTATAAATGATGAGATTACCCACGTGAGTGGGCTTGGACACCCCAACATCCCTTTTTTCTTATATTTATCAATTACAGACTGTTCTCATTAAGCCAGGGGTTGGGTTAGAAAGTTGTATTTGAAGCACCACCTTGACATAAATGATAAATACCAAACAATTAATTTACATAATAACCTTCATGATTTTGAAACTGTTCAGAAATCCAATCTTCACTATCAGTCTATATTAGAGAATTTTGAAACTGTAGTCTTCTTCTTGTGTTTTACTTCCAGTGAACTAGTAAGTCAATTTAGTTCAACAAAAGTTGCCAAGAAATGGACTTCTAAATAATGAAATTATTTTTAAAAGACTTTAATTACATTGTATGATTTTCTATATATAGATATGTGCTTCTAATTTGATCCTCTCGGGTAAGCTAGGCATAGGTCTATTACGATCCTGATTATAATCTGGATGAATTTAATTCTTCATTTTCTCAGAGTGAGTGTAGAGACAAACTCAAGATCTGATTGACTTGCTACAAATTCCTAGTACTTTGGTGTGAGTTAATTCATACCCCAGTGTGTTAAACTTTATGCTTCATCCTAGGACCAGACGAGTCCTACTGGTAACTTGAGATTACTTGTATAGTCAACAACCAAGTATAGGCATCTACTGCAAACAATATGCCACAACCCCACCATACTTTCTCCTTGCCCTGGTAAAACCCCTTCCTTTCTTCACTCAAAATGTAGTCCACTGATACAAGAGAATTTTCATACTCTTGATATGTCTGATCCTTCTCCTCAGTATCTAGTTCTCCTACAAAGAGTCAAACCATTCACCTACCATCATCAGTGGAAATAGACATTCAAGTAGCCCCAGTCCTTTGTGTCTTTCTTTTATTCCTCCTGACACTGGAGAAAAACCACCCACCCAAAAAATGCTATATATATAAGTGCTTGTCTAGGCCAACCCTTCATCTCTAAAAGCTCAGAAGAATCCTGCCAAGGATTGTGAAGCTTGCTGGCAGCAGTGGGGGGTGTGGTGGGTGCTATTTTTCTTGGACTCTTCACATAGACTTATGTAATCCTTCCATCTCCATTTGGCACTTGAAGCTTATTTTCCCATTGCTACTGGGAACCACAGGATTATTTTTTTTGTAGTTCAGCCAGCACTTGACATAACCATTTTTTTTCTGTGGCAAAGTGGATTCCAAGTTTTTAACAGCTAAGTTACAAATTAGTGATAGAACATCATTGGTGTATTATCTGGGGACTCTTTATCAGCCTCAACATAGGACAACTTGATTTAGATAAATGTAATGCATAGTACAAGCAAAATTAATTGAACTCTACCAATCTTGAATTTGTGACATTTTGGATTCCAATCCTTCAGTTCTTTTCTTAAAAAACAAAAGGTATTCCTTCCTTTCTTCACTTATCTATAAGTGTGAATCTACCTTTTAAGCTGATAAAATGTGGCAGATAAATATCTTTGAATATTCTGGGAGGACAAGGCAGGTGTCAGCACAGTAAGTGCCTCCTTAGGCTTGTACTCTTGTAGGGCTTGATAAGGATTCCTAAACATATGTCTTTTTTTTTCTTTTTCAAATGTCCATGGCTAATTGTGCAAATAAGAAGGGTGGGCATAATTTGTGTGTGTGAGCATTTACTTGTATGTACATGGGATATTTAGAGGAAAATGTGTAAGAACCTGGAAATATTTGTTGCCTCCGAATAAGAGATGTGGGTTGCCCAAAGACAGGGAGAGGAAAGATAATTACAGTTCCCTCTACAGCATTCTGTACCACTTGATTTTTGCACCATGTAAATACCTTAACTATTCAAAAAAACAAAAAGAAAAGAAAAACAAAAAGTTTTGGGTTGGTCCACTCCTATCTTTTATCCTCAGCATCGGTCCTGAAGGCTAACAGTTCAGGGCTCTCACATGGGTGACCAACAATGTTAGCCCCTTATGGCCCTTATCACTTGGCTTGACGCATGGAGTAGAAGGAATGACAAATGATAGTAACCTGTCTTCCATTCACCACAGTGCTATAGACAGCCTTAGCCTCACCCTGAAAATGACAAGCTTTCTGATACACAAATCATCTTCCTTGCATACGGATATTTTCAGAAGCAAGTCCCAGTAGAAACCTGGGAAGCAACAGCAACGTGATGCTGAAACAGTGATCCTTAATAACATTCCTCATGTGTAGGACTAAATAAGGATTTCCTGGAGAGTGAGGTTGATTTAGGGATCAGGGATCAGCTGCTGAGGCTAGCGCTTGGAAAAGACAAACCAAGCATTCACACCCCAGACCACTCAATACCAGCATTGTCTCCAATCCATCTTTCATAAGGGGGCTTCAAGTGGGGGAGGGGATAAAAGAAGGAGAGAAAGTAAACCTTTTTAAGCCTGTGAAAGAAAGTGCAGGAGAGAGGAAAGAACGAACAAGATGTGAGCATGAAAAGCCAGTTGCCAGGAATATTTAGTTTGGAAATAGACTTTGGCTTTTAATCTTCGACTCCACTGTCAAGTTTCTTCTCTGCTTTGCATTCCTCATCCCATCTTTCAGCTCTGATCCGACTGACACCCCATGCTTTCCTGTCCTTCTCTGTTTCACTCCCTTGTCTGTCAGGGTTTGTCTTCTCTCCTTCTCATCTCCTTTTCCTGATTTCTTCACTCTCTGCCTCTCCTTCCCTGGACTCTTTCTCCTGTTCTTTTATAGCTTGAGTCTGTCTCCTTCTCCCCTTTTTTCGTGCACAGTACCTCCAAACTCCATCCCCTCTTAAGGAAATGAGCCAGGCCTCAGATGGAGCTGTTGTCCTGACAACCTAAAGGCGCATCAGGCTTTCATTGAGGGCTGGCTGCTGCTGAAGGGGGCAGTTGTGCAAAGCGAGGGGCCACGCTGAGAGGAGGGCGGAGGGATGACGTGGAGGGGCTGCTGAAACCCGTGGGGGCGGGGGGGAGGTGCTGAGCGGAGGGAGGGAGGGACTGGAAGGAGAAACAGGAAAGGGAGGAGGGGGAGAGAGACTCTGGGCTGCCGCCGCTGCCTTGTGGGTTTCGTTACACTCGCTGGCAGGCTGGGTGCCGGCTCCCTCGCCCGCCTGCCTGGGAAAGTGGGTTACGGAGGGAAGAGGCTCAGCTCAGACACTGGCAAAGGAGCATCCAGCCACCGAGGGACCAGAGAACACCTTCCTTTTTGCCGCCTTCTCGTCACCTTTTTCTAGAGGGTTTTTTATATTTGTACTCTCTTCTTTGAAATTTTGTTCCTTTGACTTTTTCCCATCTCTGCTCGGGTTTTACGAGGGCTTTGTTAAGTCTTAAGAGGGAAAAGAGGCTGAGCCGGGCAAAGAGAGAGGCCAAGTGGAAAGGACCGCAAATTGGCAAAGCCCGTTCTGCCTTTGCCGTGGATGAAAGCCCTCTGTTTGTAAAGCCCTCTCGGCGCGAGCAGCACGCGCACACCCTCCAGAGTCGCCCGCGACCCGCACCTCGGCGTGGCCACCATGGTCGCTAGAGTTCAGCCCGATCGGAAACAGTTGCCGCTGGTCCTACTGAGATTGCTCTGCCTTCTTCCCACAGGACTGCCCGTTCGCAGCGTGGATTTTAACCGAGGCACCGACAACATCACCGTGAGGCAGGGGGACACGGCCATCCTCAGGTAGGGCTTTCGGGCAACTTTTCTGCTGCGCGCGATTGTGTGTGTGTGTGTGTGTGTGTGTGTGTGTGTGTGTGAGATCTCCTTGAACTCCACGCCCCTGATGCTACAGGTCTTGGTGGGTGTGTGTGTGTGTGTGTGTGTGTGTGTGTGTGTGTGTGTACACAAGCGCGCGCTCGTATGCCTTTTACCGTCGACTGGCCAAGGTATCTGCCAACAAATTTCAAGGGGATTTTGTTCCCTGTCAGGGATCAGCAGGGTTGGTTAAACGTTGTTTGGTTCTTAGGATCTTGTTTTTCTTACTGAGAAAGCCTAATTTCAGCTATGCTGTTGGTGACATTTGGGCAGTGTTCTTGCTTTTGTAATCACAGATGCTTTGCACTTAAGAGTTTTGTTGGGGTTCCTTAATTGGGAAAGAAGAGTTGTTAAATTATGGCTCCCCGAGAGTGGTACACAGTATTGCATTATCCTTGGGGTATGTGTGTATGTGTGTGTGTGTGTGATAATACCTACGCACATCAAGGCTCTCACTCTGCCCCAGCAGTGGTTCGGATAGGAGACTTTCAGTAAGGATTTTCTAATTGACATCCAGGGCAATAAATCAATCTTAGAACTTTGGTTGGCTACTGAGCCTTTTCTGGAATGTGGATAGAAATCAACACAAGAATGAAGAGAAGGGGGGAGAAAAAGGAATTTGCCAAATCACTGATATTTAAGAATAAGAGTGTTAAGCACAGAGGTTAGGAAAGCATTAACCTGGCATAAAATGGATATTTCAAATTGATTATTGACCTCAAAATTTTATCTCTGTGCAGCTCTGCCAAGCTCTGAAATATAATTTGGGATTGAAATTTGGAAAGGAAGAGTACCAAGTCCTTGGGAGTTTGACCCCTATAAGGGACAGTGAGCTGGAGAAACTCAGATGAAACCTAGCTGTGATTGTATTTCTCAAAAGCTCCAAGCTTGTTTTTCTGTGTCTCTTCTTTCTCTCCCCTCTCCACCCATTGTATGTACCCCTTGTCCTTTTTTTTAGAGCTTTCCTGAATTTCTATCAGGTACTTAAATAAATAAGTAAATAGAATAAGAGAAAATGTTCTCCTTGGAGAGCCTTTAAAATCTCATTTCATCCAAATAAAATGACCTAGTGTCAGTCTGTCTATCTAGGTAATATTGCTTGTTGTGGCAATAAAAAGCAGTGTCCAATAGAAGGTAAACCTCTAATCTGTGTGCAAGGAGCTGATAGTGCATAAACCCTGGGGCATCAGGGAGCAGTTCTGTAGCAGAGCTGCCTACAGCAGCAAAGTTTTCTTTCCTTTTCTCAGAAATAAATTTGGTTGGCTGTCACAGTGTCCTGCTTTGGGATCTCTCGCCTTGTTAGAGAGGAATGTGCGTGTGTTGTGCCTGTTGTGGGGGGTGTGTGTGTGTGTTTCTGTAGACTGTAAAAACCAAGAAAATCCTAATATGTAAGTACTCCTTTCTTCATTTCCTTAGTATTGTGAATCCCTAAATCCTACTATCCAAAGTATATTTTCCCTCCTAGCTCTCCAGTCCTGTAAAACCTGCATGTGTGATTTATCCATATGGAGTAATAAGATTTATAGAGTAATTTATCTATTTGCAAACAGATTTGGACATGATGCAGAAAATGTTTTTGCAAACACATAAGCATGCCATCTCAACTGCTAGCATTCACATTCCCTAACACCATTAACCCTTTGCAAGTGAAGCACTCTTTGTAAATTTATGCTATCCCTGGAAAGATTTGTTTTCACTGACTATAAGACTGAATATGGGAAAAGTGAGTACCTGGGATGTATAAGTTTCTGTGTCAATGTTCATGAACTTTGTAAGGCCTTTCTAAGTCAGCATCACCTATATCTTAAGCTATAGTCATCAAAGGGTTAGATAAGTATCTAAATGTTAATTCAGAAGGAAAAAGGTATTCTTATATTTTCACACTTTATATGCATAGAAGTCTATGTCTTTGAGAGGCACTCTTATTACCCATTTATCTCTATGATATTTGCATGCTTCTATGTGTTTGTGGCTCAAAAGAAATGGAGTTTTTAAAGCATTACTTTTTAGTAGACATTTCAGTGTGGAAATGGGGGGGCAGGTAGTAAGAACAGAGAATAAATACAGAAACAGTTATTCTCTGGGAAAGAAGATAGACAAACAGAGCATGCAAAGAAGCCACCTGTGAGAGTCCATTGCTTTCCTGGACCTCACCTAATGTGCCCTCTTTTTCACTTCCTTTGCCTTGGACAAGTCTTTGCTTCTGGGTTGGTGGAGCTCTATCAGGAGTAACTATGAAAAGAGTTCCCTTTGTTTTCTTAGCTGACCTCAATCTCTTTAACTGAGTCCAGTAAGCTCTGTGGGTCAGTTTCCTGGTAAAGAATGGCACTCTTGCTGTCTGCTTACAAGTCTAGCCTGGGAAAGGCTTGCTTCCACTTTATTTGTGACATTTCACTGGGAGCATGAGCTTCCAGGGGAGGAGAGGAAGGAGAATTTGATTCTTTGGAAGCCACAGTAGCTGTTTGGCACTGAGAAAGTGAAATGGCAAGAGGGAAAGGATCCTCCCTCAGTGAGTCTGTGGCCTGAATTATCTGAAATGGCAACAAGAGGCAAGGGGGGTTTGAAATTCTGGTGGTCCAGTGATGGGACTTTGACTGACTGTCCCCAAAACATTTACCTTCACCATGCAGGTTCCATGAAACAAGTGTTTTTTGGGGGGCAATTGATTCTTACTTTTGGGTAATTATGGTCATTCATGGAAATGTGCATCTTGAGAGGAGAGAGTATACTAGCCTTGGGGTCTTGCTCTGTCATTTCTGCCTTTTGGGGGAAAAAAAGAAAGACTATAGACTGAAGGTGACAAAACTAGATGGAAAGAGAATCTCATGTGTCCCAACCTAACCCTGTTGTTTCCCAGAAGAGATCCTAGATGTTTATGAGCCCCTTTATGAGATTCTTTAAAAGATAAAGAAAACCGCAGCACCATCTTCCATCTCAAAGGCAAAAGATCAGTGTGATTCATAGACCAGTGGCGGCAGCAGCAGCACCTGGGGCACCTTTCTAAATCTATAGAACCAGAATCTGTATTTACATTTGTAACACCGTAAAGTATGAGACACATCTAACCACAGGACTTTACTTGTAAGGAAGACTCAGTTGCTTTTCTGAACAGGGCCCACCTGCCTCACTGCCACTCCCCTACCCCACCAAGTGTAGGAGTTCATCAGTTACTGGGCAGGTTTCTAGCACTGGTCCTTCCAACCCCCTATCCTTGTACATGAGCTCCCATAGAGTTTCACTTCCTGGTTAATCTTGGCAGGTTGAAACCGCATTGCTTTACTGATAAGTTAAGGGAAAAGTGGAAATAGTGTTCCAATCCAACCTTTAAAATTTCATTTTTAACAGTCTCACTGACTATATTTTCAATATGAGCAGCAAATGTCTGGAAAAAATAATTATAAAATAATTGATCCCAATATATCTGCTCATAAAGTAACTTTGTAAAAATACATGTATATGCCTATTTGGACATGTTGCTTAAGTGCATATATGATAAAATGCAGAGGCTCCACACCCATGTTGTAACTTTAAATATTTTAAATTTGAGGTATTGAAATTGCATTTATTTCACAATTCTGACCCTATTTGATGTTTTCAGGATATTGTAATACCTTTTATAGTGATAGCATTTTTCCCATTTAAGTATAAATGTACCTAAGAAGTGTTAGGTATAAGAAACTAAATACCTAAGTTTAAAATAGTTAAATTTTTAGTTTTTCAAAAATTCTTGGTCTTTATTTCCTTATTTGTTTCTACAGTAGGGGAAAAAGAAGAAACAATACAAAAGCTATGATTATTTGACAGTAAAATGTAAAAATTTTGTGCAAGTTTCAAAGGAAAAATGGCTTCTTTTCTATAAAGCATCTGGCACGCCTACATTCACAAAGGAACTGTCAACAATCAGACAAACTCCTGACACAATATGTGTTTTTCTACCACTTATAACTTACTATTTGAAAACAAACTTTGTGGGCATGGTAGTCTACAGGGAGAGTTTGTGACAGTTATGAAGTTTTCTTTTTCTGTAATTAAATCACTAAAGGTAATCAGAATTTATAGGTTATGACTGATACTTTAAGGATCATTCATTACCCATTAAATTCTTTATCAAATATATTTGGTGAATAATGGAGTAAAGCATGCTATATATTGTCTAGGAATATGACATATTATATCCATTTTTGAAAGATGTTTATGTACTTGTATCACTTGCTGTCATTTATGTTCTGGGGAACAGAACAGACCAGTCTCATGTGACAAATACAAACTGTGATGATTGGTGTTTCTGTAAGTATGAAACACTACACACTTACAGCACATATTAGAGTGATTGGTTCTATGTAATTTGACTTTGAATGACTTATTTGTCGAATTGTGGAGCAAACAACCAAAGATGACTGACTCATCTACTAAATCAGTTGGTGAGAGTTAAACATCTGTGTTTCTTGAAGCTGCTTCAACATAATAGTAAACTCAGGCAAAAGAAGGATTAGTGCATTTTGCTATGGTCTCTGAGAGCTCCAAGTACAAGTAGCTGGGACTCACCTGATGGGAGGTTGTCTGTGTGCTGTCCCCCTCACTGTCATCACTTGAGCCCTAGAGAGCCCTCCCTTTCAGGCCACTACTTAAGGCTTATAGCCCTTTGCCCTGTTCGTTTGTGAATGTCCTACCTGTTAGTTTGTACAACTTAGAAGAGCTGGGCTCTAATTTTGGATCTATCCTTGCATGCTATATGACTTTGAGAAAATCTCTGAAATATTTTGAGCTTTAGTTTTGTTCAGTTTAGTTTGTTTTGTGAGCTTTAGTAAAGAGCTCACAAGAGATAAAGTAGTTCCGTTTGGTGAACTATAAACTGCTACACAAGCATAAAGTGTTTGTGGTTTTCCAACCACATGTAGCCAGTTATTTAGACTTTAGGGAACTCTTTT